ATAAGCTGTCGTGGTTTGTGTCTGAACTACCTAAGAAGATATCTCAAACGTGGTGGTCCAGTGTAGGTAGTATTCTACAACAAGCTGTCGTGGTTTGTGTCTGAACTACCTGAAGAAGATATCTCAAACGTGGTGGTCCAGTGTATGTAGTATTCTACAATAAGCTGTCGTGGTTTGTGTCTGAACTACCTGAAAAAGATATCTTAAACGTGTTGGTCCAGTGTAGGCAGTATTCTACAATAAGCTGTCGTGGTTTGTGTCTGAACTACCTGAAAAAGATCTATCAATGTAGGGAGCAGCTTAGAATAAGCTTCTTAGTAGTTGAGACGTCAAATTAGGTTAAACCAGGATGAAACACTAATTGAGAGAAGAAAAATATACAAATCAAGAAAACTAACCAGGAATGGTAAAATCAAACACAGCACTGTCATCACTGATAATAACCTCGCCATTCACAACGTAACGCGTGTTAACTTTAAACTGGAACACAGCATTAGGGGGAAATAGGATTGAATTGATTACATGAGAGCTGTCCTCCGTAGTAGCGTCTAAAGCCCATTCTGATGAGCTTGAATTTCGGTAATATACCATTGTAGTAAAGGGAAACGTCTCGGAACAACCGACATGTGACCACGTGATGTTCACGCCACCATTATCTGCTATGTTGACATTTGTTACAGTCGGCAGAAGATAAGGATCTATAAAGGATACGATAGTCATTGCGTGAGTTAAACTAACGTTATGGATAGCTCCATCACTTCTAAACTGTTCTTCTTTTATTGATCTACTGTTTACAGAAGGAAGCCCAAACTAAACTAACTTTATTTATACTGTATAGCTCTATCTGTTCTAAACTGTTCTCCCTTGAGGTCCAGTAAGTATCATCTCTTATTGATCCAGTGTTACTACAGGAGGAAACCTAAACTAAACTAACTTTATTTATACTGGATAGCTCTATCAGTTCGAAACTGTTCTCCCTTGAGGTCCAGTAAGTATCATCTCTTATTGATCCAGTGTTACTACAGGAGGAAACCTAAACTAACTTTATTTATACTGGATAGCTCTATCAGTTCTAAACTTTACTTCCTATAGAGGCCAGTAATGATCATTATTAATCCAGTGTCACCACAGGAGGAAACCTGCAATAAAATATCTTTGTTTATACTGAGTATCTTCATCAGTTCTAAACTGTTCTTTCTGCAGGTCCAGTAAGAGTCTTGCCTTATTGATCCAATGTTACCACAGGAGGAAAACTAAAGTAAATATTCGTTTTTCTACTACAGTGAGTAAGAAGGAATGAATAATTCTTACTGCAGACTTCAAGACTAAGATCATCCATTGCAATGAACAGATCTGACCCAGAAAACGTCGCCTTCATGGCGACCTAGAAAAAATTCACATGCTTATGTAAGTAAGTTTCGAGAGCCACTAGGAACAACACAATAATAGTGTTGCCCTAATTAGTGATAAAAAACGAACCCACGCTTCTGGAAAGTATGTCACCTTGACTAATGACTATAGAGCCTCTACGCTACGAAACTCGAAGGCTCGAGTGAGTAGGTTTCGGTGGTGCAGTCATCAGAGCATGCGCCTTTCACTTCTGAGTTCGTGGGTTTGATTCTCGCTACGGACTCATGTGAAAAGAGTCAGTCAACGCTCTACCGAAAGTCGTGGGTTTTCTCTGAGTGCTCCAGTTTCCTCCCACAGGGAAAGTTGACAGGGTGGGTTAAACATAGTTGGAAAAGTAATATCTCAATTGTTGTAAAGATAAATAGTCTAGTCTAAGTAAGAAACATAAGTAAGCGTAATACTTGATGTAATCGGTCATTGAAAAGCCCCAATGGGGAGTCAGTTGAATAATGACGTACTTTCCGGAAAGGCCTATCCACACTTACTAAAAACGCCAAAGCTGCCTTCATTTCAATTTGCTGATATTGCCAGGTCCTAACACTAGGCGAAGCAGTGCTCCAGATAACGGATGTTTCTAGCCTTAAAAATATACTAGAAGATTGACTAATAGAAACAGTAAGATTCCCGCCATCGTGGCCGTCCATGAAGTACCAGAAACGCAAACGAAGAAGATGTCCTTTCGGTGACAGAGACAGGAAAATGTTGGAGTTCAGTGAGGACTCGTTCACGTCAGCCGTTTGTCTAAACGTCAGAAATTTCGCCGGCGGAACTGAAACAATTGAGGGATATTAGTAAATAACCTGGAACAGTCTGTACCAGTGTAGGTCGTGGCAATGATAAGACAGCTTCGGATTGATAGGGATACAACTACCTGAAAATACAAGGAGAACTTCGAGGTCCTTCGTCCAAGTTCTTCTTGTATTTTACAGGTAGTTGTATCCCTATCAATCTGAAGCTTTCTCACAATATGAACATAGTTTATTACCTCTACAGATCCCAAACGTGTGATCATGATACGGCATATTTTCAATGATTGCACTCTGGTTATTTATCGTCATTATTGCCGCACCGGAAACGTTGAAACTACACAGACCATCTTCAAATGAACAATCACTACTCGTGGGCTGTATGCAGGCATGTTGAGTAGAGGGATAACCCTGGACGCACCAAGATCCAGATTCACATGGATCTGATAGACATGATCCACGATCAAATGAGGTCAAGATTCCTGGAATGAGAAAACATAAAATAGAAATATCAATAATTAACGGTTAACAACACAAAACTTATGACTACAATCCGTTACCTGCAGGCAATTTCACAAAAAGACAAAATATTAATTATAAGTGTTCCAAACAAGAAATAAAATTCAAGATGGCATTTCGATTCTATTTCAAAGTGAAGCCAGATGAGAGTGAGTTATTTTAACATATTTAATGTTGCAGGAACTAGTTAAAGATTTCACCACAGCTCACCTTGGGAATGAATTATTTGAACATTCTCGGAACTTAGCGCACGGTTCCAAATCATGAGATCATCGATGATTAAAGTTGAAAATCTTTTCCCGCTCGAAGATTCCTCATACCCAACAGTGATGACGTCATCAAAATTCCCAGAAATCGAACTTGAATCGGAGATTTGGGTTGAGACCACAAGTTTCCCATTCTCGTAATACGACAATCCTCCAGCCGCACTCCACGTGGCTGTCACGAGGAAGACGTCCATAGGAATACACCCACGTTCTATGGTCCAACTTCTGTCCACGCCTTGATAGGTGATGAAGAATTTCCCATCTTCAACATAAACGTGGAAACCAGCTTTGCCTGTACGGATTATGATTCCTCCAGATATAAATTGCAGCCAGAATGACACTGTTAAGCCTTCTGCGCAATTGTACGGCGCCACCAAACACGAGTCTTTCAGAGTTTCTAGTGTAAGAAATATATACTGTAAAGAATGGTTTACACTTGGGCTTTACTCAAAGTGTGTGACAACATAAACCTCAGTTTTACAAAGAAATAAAGACACCATTCTTTTCTTCACAAAATTGATTACCTGAGATTAGTGCTCCACTTCCAAAACAATTTAACTGGGCAACATTTCCAAGATCTGCAGACCTGTATATACGCGCATCTCCTAGAAATACGAACATGCAATAAAATAGCTGTATTTAACATTAATCTAATTACATTGTTATTTGCTAAAACAGACATGTTTCTCTCCTTGATAGTAAAGGTTTAGATTTGACTCCCACTACCCCCACTGCAACCATTAACCAATTAGTTACGTTTAATCTATCCGACTAGCCAATCAGATGCGTTTAATCTATCCGACTAACCAATCAAATGACTACTTAGCCAGTAAGGGGTAGAGGAATCTAAATCTGGACCTTTATGATATACGTACCATATCGAGTGAAATGATTACGTCGGATTTTATCCACAAATAGTCTTCCAAACGGAATGATGTTGAATGCCCAGTAGTGAATTAAGTAGTTGGTTATTCCCTCATCTGGCGGAAGTGGCGTATCTGGTGAAGATTAAGAACAACGTATAACGATAAAGTAAATAATCAGAAGAATTAGATAATCAGAAGAGGAACACAGTAAATTTCAGTAAAAAGGGTATACCTCGTGGATGGAGTGTCTTAGCCCTCCCCCCATTCCTCTGTAAGTGAGTACAAATGAGAAACTTAGCTCACCTGGTGAAACAGTCATATTACAGAAAAATCCAGTCAAATCATCCCCACAATCACAATAATCCTGGCCTTGGTACACCTTACACGACGTGTTGCCTAGGCAACTAGCATCGCTTCTACAGTATATTGATTCAGAACAGTCAGATCCGATGTAGTTCTCTGGGCAACTACATCTGCTTTCTCCGCTAGCATCCGTGAAACATGTACCGTTGTTAGCACAGGCCGGTGTACAGGTCGCTGATGTTAGAACTGAAGTAAACACAGAAAAAAATCATGAAACAAAGTTGTTTAATGAGCTTCTCCTTCAGTGGTGAGCGGATTTCCCAACAGGCTGTGGCTCACTTGATAGGGGATTTAGGCGAGGTACCTACGATTTTAGCGTCCTTATCCGAGAAGACGCGAAAGTCATTTACTGATGTCAATTTAAATTGTAAAGGTAGCACTTTTCCCTCAAATTATTTTAAGACCTTGAGGTCAGAACAAGCATTGAACACGGGTCTCACACAAGATCTATGCTATATATTTCTTTCAAATAAAAGACTATTAAGAAGAGAATCTTTTGCATGTCACGTAACACGCGCTTAAAACTAATAAATATACTTTTCCACTTCATGGTTATGACTATATTCAAAATTTTAGATTTTTGATACGTTTGTCAAGCGACAAACAAACTTAAAAAGTATGTTTGGTGCTTTATCTGTAAAGTTATGCTAAAATGAAGAGATTTTAGATGGTACGCCAAAGAGAAAATAATGTCTGAAGTTCAGTAAGTTTTGCTTGTATTGTTGTATAAACATGGCGTCAATTTTACAGCGTCAATGATAATTGTATTTAAATTGACAATATTTAACTATTATTTTGTGTTTCTCAACCGCCAGATACATTTAAAAAGGTAGCTAACTGTGAACTACAAAATGAAGCTAAAACAAAGTATTTTTGAGAGGTACGGCCAAAACGATTTTGGGTTTTGAACACTTTTCATCGCAAATACATGACACTGAAAAAAATTGCCTCTTAATAAAAATAATTAACATAATTTTCACACTCTGGTAACAGCCTGACGAGGCCACCTATCAGTATGGGGAATACCGTATTTACTCGTTTGAGCGCCGCGGCGCTCTTTAAATTTTCAGAGCTTCAGATGCGGCGCTCATTCGGGGTGAGCTTCAGATGCGGCGCTCAATCGGGGGCGGCGCTTTTAAAAATATTTTATTTGTGAGTTATAAGAAGAACTTTTAACAATAAAATAAACAAGCTTTAAATGTCTTTGTCACTAAATTTCCCCATTTTGACGGGCGGAAAGTTTTTACACTGTTTAGTGCGGCGCTCATTCGGGGGCGGCGCTCTTTAAAAAAATTTGATCTCAAATGCGGGTAAATACGATACGAGTAAATACGGTACGCCTATGCTTTGATACATGATGCAAAAATTGTTTACACGCCTACAGCTTGCTGATTGTCATAGAGAGAATCTATCAGATGATTACGTAACAGTTGCCTCAAATCTTAATTGTAGCTGACAGTCAGGGGTGCCGTAGCCACGTGGGTAGCGGCTGCAGCGGCTCCCGTTGCCCAAACAGTTCGGGGGAAGCTGGGTGGGGGAAAGCAGGGGGGCAGCAGGTTGCCTTCGAAAGTCATATGAATTGAAATTGAGAACTGTTTTCAAGCACAGTTCACGAGATAAATACCGTTTAAAAAAATTCTAAAGTATTAAATTAGCATGGCCGGCTCTTTCAAAACCGCTTCACAGCCGGCGTTAAAACATGCAATCGTTCAACTTCTTAACAGTGACACAACTGAGGACACTGTGCTTGCACAATTGAAATATATGAACATCTCTGTAGTGACATAACACAGCAGCACGCTATTGTATTGAAATGTTGTTGTTAGGATGAATAAAGCTAAAATATAGCAATACATAATTTTGATGGTATCCACAGCTGTTTATCATTTTGACCCATCAATACCACTGCTAGAACTTTCCAAAAGTGATTAGTTTTTAAGCAGCTTAGCAACCGTTGAACTGGACACACTTTTAGACCGATTTATCCTTGGAAATATTCAAAGTGAGAAACAGAACTCGAAGGGTAATTGCACATAATTGCGTGGCTTTAGACCTTAGGCTTTGTACTGATAAAATATTATTTCTTTATAGGTTAAACAAGGTGAAAACTTGTAAAAATGTTTAAGTCAACATGACCTATGGTTAGGGTACACCCAGGTTTTTTATTAATTTTTTCCATAGAAAATTTGTTTAACAAGTTTTGGAGGAAGCGATGAGAAAAGCTAACGTGAATTATAATGATATTGAAAAATATAAATCATCTCATTTGCTTACCAGTTATATAATAGCAGGTATAACATATGACGAATAACCACGGATAGTTGGACATCATCGCCCTTTCTTGTGGCAAAAATAGGAAAGAAAAAAATAAATATTCATTAAATTACTCTAGAAAGTACTGTTATATATATAGGGCACAAGACAGATGTCTGAGCAGGACAATCATATCTCATTTCTATTATATTTAATCTTTAATCTCCCCACAGTATTTTATTGTTAAAATAGGTTTAAAGTATGCTATTTACCCAAGATTAAGTACTTATGCAGTATGAATGAACAAGAATACAGCCTAAAATTTCAGGTATGCTGGTATATTGAGCCATGTATTATCGAGTATATTGCATTATTGGTATTCTGGTAACCTCTCTGGCTAGGTCTGTAGAAAAATTTGAAACGGCCTTCAGGCTTCACCTCATTTTAAGACATATATAGTATATACTCTACCAAATTATATTAATTTTCAGTTCAACTATCTCAATTTGGTTTGGGAAGTTGTCATTCGTAAGTGGTTTCAATGCAATGGCATGTGACAATGATGGTGCAATGAGGTCATTATATAATAAGTTAATTTTAGGTTCTGAATCCATACAGTTGATTTAATAGTTTATCACAAATTCCTTAATTAAACTTTGCAATTGCTTGTTGGGAATGCTATACCCCTGAAAAGACAAAAAGGTGGCAATGATGGTGCAATGACATCATTCATTAATGCGGAGTCAATTTAGATTCTGAATTCAAATGTTACTTTGTACCTATAGTTCAGCTAGCTAGAAAAGTACATATATATACAGCAGATTTAATAGTTTATCAAGGATTCCTTAATTGTACATTGTTTGTATGGGAATGCTATTTCCTGAAAAGGCAATTAGCTACGGTCTAGAATATTCCGATGGTTTAAAACGAGGTTTAAAGCACGTATGAATTAAACACTGATATGCCAAATCAACTATTTCTATTTCGGTTATAAATTCTGACAAAACCTAGTGCCCATCGCCTCAAATTCTGACAAAATCTAGTGCCCATTCCTACCAACGGAAGCTTGTTCAAGTAAATATTTCAACAGTATAAATGTGCATGTCTATGTGTTTGGTTGGTTGAATTGAACAAATATTTTTTGTCAACGAAACTTTTCAAAACATGCGTATATAGACGGAAATTCCCTTAATAGCATTCAATATGGCATGGCGAATGTAAAAGTATGGTATATTCGATTGAAAAATTCTCTAACCCGTCTAACCGCTAACAATTCTAATTTGATAAACTTTCTGACCAATATAGACAGTCGCCTTCAACCGGTAAGCATTCATAAAGCAAGGTCTTTTAATGGAAGAAATAGTTTTACACTTAAGACATTTTGGTATAGTGTTAAGGCTGACTGGTTTACACTATCAAAGTTTCTGTGATCACAGACTCCAGTGCTCAGTAGGAATTTTTCATAGGTAAATTTGTAGGAAATGTAGGATTTGTATAAGAAATGTTTGAGGGAACTGGCTGAGTGTTTAACACTGAGTCCTCTCAAACATTCCTGCGGTTAAACAACACAGTATATATGCATGTATGATTGCATATATACAAATTTTATACAATGACGATTGACGGTATATATAACTTCAGACGAAGGGCCTTCGCTCGAAACGTCGAAATTCTCCTTATATATTTTCAGGTATAGTTTTATCCCTACAAACGAAAGCTTGACGTTCATTATATATAAATATCTTTATCAGGGTTTTTTCACATTAAATCGGTTATGCCCAGATTATATTGGTTGTTCAATTATACCTTCATCGGATGGAACAGCTTAATATACAAAAAAAAAACAATGCACAATATAAGATCAAAAACCCTTCTTCTGCTAGTTCTGCCGAAAGAGACAGTACCTACCTATTTCGACCTCGGGATTCAGCAAGTTCAACCACGACGCAGCTGTCACAACTTTCTGGAATACACCCCCAACAGCACCACAATAACAAATATAGATTCTTGTGTATTAGTAATACGAAGTTTAGTTAAGAAAGTCTTAGAATATATCTTAGTTTAACACACTGGTTGAATAGTTAACTCCAAGCTAAGTCACCACAACCGAATACGATGTTCATGTCTGATGCAGAGACTCGTTGACATTGAAAAATCTCAAGGACATCACGCAGTGCTGAATAATAGCGTATTATTTATGGCAATGAAATATTTACGAATAATAGCTTGCTTTCAATATCTTTTCAAGTCGCGCCTCGCAGAGCACCTGGACAAAAGAGCCGCATAATAAGACGATGCAGTCACGCTGGGCTCACTAATTGTGTGGGTTCAAAATGATAGATCACCCAGGATTGAATGCAGATCACGCACACTTTCGAAACTAACGCCTGTATTCTAAAAGCTCACTCACACTCAAAGAGTGGAGGTTCAATCAGAGCTTCCCTTGAGTATCAGTGCTGTTTTTGAGCAGCTGGAGGGTTAGTGTCGTAACTGTCCAGCTATTCAAAAACAGCACGGACACTCAAGAGAATCTCAGATTGAACCTCCACTCTTTGAGTGTGAGTGAGCTTTCAGAATGTACGCCCCCGTTACACAATACCAGATTCGCTTTTTACGACATCAACATATGCCGTTCGAACAATTTCCCCCTTTAACAGTTTTCGTCGTAATTTGTCATATTAGGCCAGGGTGACGTATAGTCGTCAGAGGCAGCCTCTTTTACCTCTGATATCGTTTTAAAGTTCGATTCTCGCTACGGACTCATGTGAAAAGAGTAAAAGTCAACGCTCTGCCGAAAGTTGTGGGTTTTCTCCGAGTGCTCCAGTTTCCTGCCACAGGGAAAGTTGACAGGGTGGGTTAGGATATAAACACAGGTGAGAAAATAATATCACAATTGTTGTAAAGATAAAATTGTCTATACTTTAAGTACGTAA